GCTCTTCTGCAGCACTGGTTGGAGATGGCAATCATCAACCAAAATAAAAGCACAACACCAAAATAAATTCCTCATCCTTTCTTGGTGGTTATTCTCCTGAAGACCCTGCATGCTTTGAGAAAAAGCTAGAAGTACATAAAATCCTTCAACAGCAGGGATTGCAGTTCTTTTTCAGCATTTCACCATAGTAGAAAGCAGTAAAAATGACGTCCCAGGAGGTCAGACTTGATAGAAGTACATCTCAAAGGAAAAGAACACCCCAACAAGGAAACCCAGGGAAAATGGCCTTTGAAATATCCTATTCTCTTTGTGGATATATATTTTCAAGACATCTATTCCAAAACATGCATTATGCATAGAGGAAGCAAGAGGCAAATAATGTTGCATATAACTTCTCCTACGTCAAGACTATGCTGTGGAAAAAAAAAATTCAGATTTTCTGACAGTTACTTTTCATCAGTAATCTGATCTTATCTGATTAAGAAAACTGATTGTTAAATTAGATTTCAGATAGTAAGATGTGGGGTTTGTGATCCTTCTTCACTGATCATTTTCATTTTTCCTGTGGCTCTCATACTAAGTGCCATGCATTCTAATCCAAATAAAGTGTTCCTAGACCTACTAATGCTATAAGAAATATTAGAATCAGGTTCAAGAAAGTACTCCAAAATGCTTTGGTTTTAACTTGTTTTTCTCCTAATTTTATCATCATCTGGAACTAGTTTCAGTTATTTAGAAATGCATACTTTGGAAGAAACAGAAGTTATTTCTGTGGTGGCAAATAATCTATAAATACACGCATGTACAAGTAAAACACATCTGGTGTTTTACAGGCCATGCATGACAGGCCATGTGACAAGATGCGTTTTAACCACTTACATTATGTCAAAGTACATCACGTCGGGTACTACATACTGGGGCTCCAGTTTGACTTATTATTAGGACACATTGAGTGGCAGTGCCAACTAAAAGTACCACTGGCCTTCACGGCTTGTTCCTACTCCTGCACCTGGGCGCACAGCTCCCTAACAAATAAAATTTTATATATGTTCCAACTCTGCCTTCACTTGAGTGTGAAGTGGCATCGAGAGTGCTGCAGACAAGAAGATAACTGGGTAAAGGCATTAATAAGAAAACAGTTATTAAACATTCACATTTATACAGAAAGTATTTATACTATGGCCAGTGCAATTAACTTCAGCATGGGCTAGATAGGATAGTTTGTACATTACATGAATAAGAGAGTTACGTTCTTGTCCTGTTTTCCTAACAATTTTTTCTTTGCCTTTTCGTTCTACTACACCATGATTTGTCAAATTGTGAGGCACAGCTTTCTGTTAGGGATACTATTTATCATTTTTTGTTGCAAAGACTTCATTTTTTCCCTTATGTTCACTTGTGAAGAGGCCAGTCTGCTTTAAAGATATAGATGTTCTTGCATGAATTAAAGCCAAAGAAAATTCATCACAACAATCTAGCCTAAACATTTTTAACTCCCTAATGTATGGAGAAGATGACATGAAGGAAAAACACTTTTATTCACTGTATTTATACCAGAAAACTCACGCATGAGAGCATTAGAATGTTTGTTAAGAAGCTGAACATACTACAGTAGAGACTATGACTTTTTTTTGCTATCTATAAATATTTTTCCAGTTGAGGAAAATGTGTTTTTTAACAGAATTCACATACCTTTAGGGGAGGGTAAGGTTAGAAAAGCTTTGGTAGGGAGATAGAAGTAGTCATAATGACGTTCAAGACAACAGGTTAGTTAAAAAAAAAAAAAAAATATTTAAAGAATGTTTTCTTAATCAAATGGCATATTGCAAAACATTCCTTCAAAAAACTTCATGATGTTTAACTGACAGCAGGAGTTCTCTTATTGTCATTCTTATTGACACAAGTCAAAGAAGACTTCTTACACATATTCTTTGGAGCAAGACGACTGTTAAAAGTATTATTGCTGAACTTATGAACCTGACAAGACCAAAGTAGTAACTTTCCAATATTAAGTGCAATTATGCCTCTGTTCACAGTAAACTGAAGGACTCTTGTGGACCAATAAAAATAAGATCACAGAACAGAACTCCAATTATGAGAAACAGAGAATTTGATTTCCAAACCAGTAATCATATCCTGAATGTTCAAAAGAATACCGTAAGAAAATTAGATTTTGCTCAGATAGGTTTACAGCAGGGGCATCTGAGCTGAAAAAACCTGCATCTGAATTTCAAATTGCTCCTTCAAATTCAGTCTATTACATGATTACTAATGATTACACCACACGCATTTCTATGTCAAACTGCATTTAAACAATAAAAATAGAGCTGAACTATAACCCTAAATTCCCAATGTTCCAGCTGTGACTTATTATCCAAACTGGGATCCAAACTTCATAGCTCTGTAGGTCCCTGGAAAAATTTCTTCACCGAAAGGGTTGTCAAGCACTGGAACAGGCTGCCCAGGGAAGTGGTTGAGTCACCATCCCTGGAGGGATTTACAAGAAGTATAGAGGTGGCACTTAGGCACGTGGTTTAGTGGTGAGCTTGGCAGTGTTAGGTTTACAGTTGGACTCAATGATCTTAAAAGTCTTTTCCAACCTAAATGATTCTATGATAATAATTTAACTCCAAACTTTAAACTGCAGTTCTTCAGAATTGTGTACTTCAGTATTGAAGTAATGAAAGCATGCCTTACTATCTGCAAATAAACCAGAAGGTGCCATTGGGTACAAAGTTACTTTCTTGTCCTCCTTGGCCTCTAAATCTCTGCATATTTTGTTCATGTAACAGTCTCCTTTTGACAACAGGACGGAGACTCAAGTTCACAGGTCCCTCTCACATGGTGAACTTGTGTACCAACATGTTCATTCTTTTTCTCAAAATAAAGGTCACGTTTATAGGTGAGCAGGGAAATTGCATTAAAATCAACATCTAATTTGTTAATAAAAATGAAGCATATACACCCTTTTACCATTGGGATGGATGGTGTTGGGTCTTTATATATGAGTAGACTCATTAATTGCAAAATAAACAACTCAAGTGTATGAACATTTAACTGCCTTCAAGTTTTCAGCTTTCCTGCCAAATGACAGTATGTTTGCTCTCTTTTTGTTTCGGAAGGAAAAACGAAAGGGAATATTTTGGCTGCATTTCTTTCACTGGTGAGCTTACCAATGGCAGAAATATATGAAAACAGTTACACATGAAAAAAGTTTTATCAGTTATGTGAATAGAGTTAATTAAGCACAAAAGAGGAAACATTTAAAGGTGGTCACATGGCTTCTCTGAAGCAAAGTATTTTAAATCTCAAATTGTTAGTACATTCATAGATAAATTTCATTATTAGATTTCAAAACAGTAAATTAAAGTATTATTGAGAACACCAGCATTTTCTAACTAAAGCTGAACAAGAACAATTTCTGCTTCCTTGTTAAAAATGCTGATGACATTCATTAATAAATTAAGACAGGCAGAGTCCTACTACACTGATTTAATTAACAGAATCGATGATACAGTGAGGTTAAAACATTCATTTATTTTTACATTGAAAAAAATCGTATTTAATTCATCAGTAATTCAAGGGGTTCTATGCTTTCCAGGTTCACCAATGCATTTTAATGAAGGGTTTTTATAATAAAAATGACACATAATTCAAAAAAAGAAAAAGGCATTGATAAAATTAATATGGGACTATGTCTATATCCCCAAGTACAAACAGATGGATCGGCAGCCAGCAAACTGAAATATAAACAAGAGGTAGCAACACTGTCCTGGCTCTGCAGAACCTTCAAAATATAGATGATTTTTAAATTTTTTTTTAATGAGAAAATTGTCCTGGGAGTTAGTACAAGATTTTTTACAGACTCCATTGTCCACTTCGACATAGAAGGATTTCTTTTCTTTTATACTATAATAAAAGCAGAAAAGGAAGACAAACTAGAACATATAAAGCTGTGACTTTTTTCCAGTCACATGAAATATCCTGACTTTTGAAGCAGAATGGCTGACAAATGTAGAGTTCCCTTACGTCATCAACTGAACATCACCAATTGCTACAATCGGTGCTTGGAATAATGAAATTTATGCAGCCATCCTTGGGGTCATACGCATTAGCTGCTTTCACTGGGACTAAGTCCTGTCTTACAACTTATGAAGATTATACCATGCATCTATAACCAAAGTTCCTGGCAGCGTTAATGAGTGTGAGTTACTTACACGCTTCCTGTGGTGGAGCTACTGTCCGTGAGGAAGGAGCCATTGGTCCTTTCCATCTGTGCGAGCCTGAAAGGCAGGGAAAGACCATGACTGTCAGAGAACACGCTGCACAATTTAAACAGTGGCACTGTGAAAATCAATTCTACTTAGAAACAGCTCAGATATGCCAATCTTGGTATATGTGAATAGGAATAAACTCCTAGATTTTGTGACAAAAACCTATAATCCAGAGGACTTTTACATAAAACTTGTGCTATGATTAACTAATTCTACTTGCCAAACAACAAAGAACAAGTATACTTTCTATCTCTAGTATAATTATCATTAGCACCACCACAACTCTCATGGTAAAATTAGTTAAAGACATGTTTTTGCAGATGGGTTTCTTTTTGAATTTCATAAAGCTGGACTAACAAAAGAGGATGAATACTTTTTAAATATAGCACATGCAACATCTGAAATTATGCTTGGCAAATAACATCACACTGTGGACAGACAAGTCCTGGAAAACAACACAAAACCCGGTGTAGTTACAGGGAATCATTGCCTATGGTTCCTCATTTTGGAAGGAATTAATCTAAAAGGACTGGATTATTATACTGTATATATAAGGCGATACAGCTCTTTTTAAAATTGCAGCAGAAATTCTCTGCCTATTCAATTTTCTAGCAAAGATATGCCTTATAGGTAAGACGTATACATACAAATCTAGGAACACTCAATGCTCTGTGCATACATTGGACTGCACCACATACAGCTATTTACTATAAAGATATCTTATTTTAATACCTATTTTTGCAAGTGTGCTATGCCTTATTATAGATATCTTTAAACTTCTTTTTGAAAGCAGTGTGCAAGGCCCTAAAGAAATGGGAATTCTGTTGTCATCTTTTAGCATGGAGCAAGCTTTCCCATTTGCACATTTGTTAATATTCCTCAGGGTTGAAAGAGGATAAATGAAAGCACACACAGAATGAAGTTGTCTTGACTGCCTCGTCCCACCATGGCTGGGGTGGGACATTGCGCTCCAACACCTCCCCTGAAGGGAAGGACAAGCTCCTAAGTGACTAGAGACATTCAGATTATCTCTGCTCCGGGGCATCTCTAACAGATCTAGTTCATGGTGAGGAACAGGTTTAGAAGTCGCCTCTGTAATGCTGCTTAGCTCAGCATCTTTGAGTCTTTGATGAAACATAATTTTCAAAATTAATCCTCAGAGCCCCTTTTTTGTCATATAGGGAAGTAGTACAAAGCCTGCCATTTTTCAGAGAGGAGAGTCTGCCCTAAATCTCTTAGCAAGTAATAGATATCCCATATCAGAAATGCAGAGTCTACCATTACCATCATGTTTTGGATCTCCAACATTTAGTGTGGATTTGCTTGGAATAACATGTGGACCAGGAGACAGCCTTGATCAGGGAGCAGAGGGAGACAAGGAAGGGACTCTAGAGCTGCAAAGAGCCTTCGATGCAGGACACAAACTGAAAGCTCAGAAAGGGAATTAGAAGCAACTCGGAGGTGACAGCACAACAGAACGGGGCGATGGTAATTGATTGCAGGTAGGGCACTTTGTTAACAGAAAACCAAGTTGAATGTTCTTCAATCAGTGACAATAAAGGTTTTAAGTCCTAATATACTGTTTCTGCTGAGCACAATCTTATTAGGGAAGCCCTGATAATATTTCTTGAAAGAAGCTTAACTGAAAAGAACAATAAAAAATATTTATTACTTTATATGTGAAATATGCATAACAACAGATCCAACTAGAAAGCACACAATAAAAATGATATGATAGATATAGAATTAGGTCCTCATTTTTAAGATTTTATTACTATTGGAAAAAACATCTTGAATAGTTTTAGATAGCTTACTTATGTAATAATTAGTATTTTTAAAGTTTGTGATTTTGCTAACCAATGTCTGCACATAGCAGGCACAGATTTAGCTTTGTATCCTGAAAGATCCTGAGCAGTGCATGGTCCATCTTCAGCAAGTTTAATTTATCTGGTAAGAGCTGAGGGGGAGGAGAGGGAAAACAGGTTTTGCACCTAGGATCTCGCCTGATCCTTAATGCGAGTCCAGAGTTTGAGCTTCATCTAGACACAGAAAGCCACGGGCTGAAAAAAGGACATAAGGAGACAGAAAATTCCCACGTCTTTCTAGAGAAATCTAATTTATTTGTTCCATGGGGTTTAATTGATTGTAGCATGGCCTAAGTTAGAGATTAAGAAATGTTGGGGGATCTATATGAATGACATGTTCCAAATAATTTAAAAGCACTACAACTCTGCCTTTGCCAATGTACTATGCTACTAATGAAGGATGAAAATATTCATTGTTGGGAAAAAAAATAATAGTTGAGGCTGACAGCAGGTAGCCCTTCAGCATTAGTTGCTGCCCTATTTTTCCCTTGCTGCAAAGATCATGTTGGGTATCCTAGGTATTTCACAAGCCGCTTTGAAGCTTTCTTATGGTACCCATAAATAAGAATTCAATTAACTCAAACATAAGCTCTGAATTTTTATCCAAAAAGCTGAAAAAGTTAACATTATTTATTAATTGTGATCAGATACAACAATAAAAACACTGAAAGGAAAACCAAGTCAGTTCCCATGGTAATATGGATCAATTTCTTTGTTGCCTAAAAGTTGGGTGGTGGTACTTATTTCTGAGAGGGTACCTCTGGTTAGTGCTTAACCATCACCAGCTCTGAGTGTACAGAAGAGGGTTCAACAAAACACAGAAGTATTGAGATAGACTTGGCATAATAGACATTTTATCATGAAAGGACTAAGGTGACCCCATAAAACATCTGCAATTATTATATGCTTTGCTAAAAGTCAGTGGTAATGGATAGAGTCAACCTAACACAGAAGAAAATGGAACCCTGGGCCTAAAATCCTACAGAGAAAAATTATATATCCAACAAGTTTAGTTTATTTCAAAGGTTAAAAATGAAGAAACAAACGGAAAACAGTACACTTTAGAAACAGCACACAGTAATTCTGCAGCAGTTTCCATTGTGTATGACAGATTTAATGCATCTATTTTACATTTAATATGACTGTATTCAGAAGCTAATGATTTAAAAACATTTGACTGACTTCTGAGTAAAGAGAATTATATCTTTTTAATAAATAATGCCCAGCCAGTAGAGTAGATTAAAATCTTCAGGAATCAATCACAAAATGCAGTGTACTGGTGAGAAACTGTCCATCTCTTACCTCGTAGCATACTGCTCTATCCTGGAGTGTGTGTCATCGTGAAACAGATGTGGAGACTGGGAAGGACTGGTTTAAAAAGAATACAATAAAAATTAGTGGTGTCTAAAGCAATTAATGATATAGACAACATTATTTTTGAAGTAAGTTAGACTGATGACAAATATATAAATTCACAATATTGCTGAGGGGGTTATTGCTTTGGGTCAGCCATGCCCTGTAGCTCATGCACATCAGATTAGTCGCAACTGAGCTGAAAGAAAACCACCAGTATACTAAGCTTTCCAGACAAAGGGGTTCTGCATACTCACTCATATTGCTCTGGCCACATACTGATGAGAGTGATAGGACTGTAAGGAAGACACAAAGAAAAAAAAAAAAGAGAGAGAGAGAGAAAGAAAGAAACTATGAAACAAAAACTTTAGTGCCATTTAAGCGAGAGAAAGCTGGAGAAACACAAAATATTTTAACCAGCAACTCACCCAGATTATTTGAATCAGCAACAATTGATGTAGAAAAGAGACAGCAACAGATACTACCGTGTATCATGGAGAGACGGGAGAATGACTTACATACTTCCTTTTGTTGAATAAAAATCAATTTTTAAAAAAATACCAAATCCATGTTATTGATTGAACTGCAGTTTGTAAACCATAATCAGTTCATTTAAATTCTGCTCAAGTACTGCAGCTTTCATTTTAAGCTAACTAGAAAATATATTTACAAAAAAAATTGGCGGGAAAAAAACACCATCGACCACAAAACCCCCATAAGTCAAGGTTATCAATGCTTATTTTCCTTCTGCATAATAACAATGAGGTAAATACATATTGTATGAGACTCTTATTGAGTAACTATTTAGGATTTTTAATTTTTTTTTTTTTTAATTTAAAGAAAGTTATTACTGAGTTTCGCCACCTGCAGGGGAGAGAACCAATACCAACAGTTTCCTCAGTGTGATGCTGGCAATTTATCTGTATATTTCCCACATGACTGGACCAAGAGGGCTTTATCCTGACTTGTGATTACAGTTTTGACATTCCGATTTCTGGCACCATCGGCAAACTTTCATCACGTCAAAGCAGCTTTGCTTTCCTGTGTTGGTGGCAGCTGAAGATTGCCCCAGGGATTAACATTTTAACATTTGAATGTGCATTGCTTCCTTAGAAATCAGGCTGTCAATAATGCCAGTTTTCAGATTGCTTCCTCCTGCTTCTTAAACTGCTAATGAGCAGGTTTTGTTTGCTTATCGTAAATAAAATGCACAGTCCTCCGGTCATGAAAACAGAGCGTGGACAGTGGCGCTGGGCTGTTGCATGCAAGCAGAGCGTATACGTTGAAGCTTCACATTCACTGTGGCTAACTAAGCGGTGCTGCGTTCAGACGATACAGTAGTGCCGCAGACTCCACAATGTCCAGGAGAGTCAATCCATGAAACCACTTCTAGTGCCCTGTCAACACATCTTAATTTTGCTCTTTTAAGAGTGTCCTTGGCTGACAGCTACCAAATTAGTAAATAAAGTGGAGTATTTCTGCCAGCACCGTAAGTAATACTGCGGAGACAGCGAGAGTGCTCTTTTATTAGGCCACCTATATTTCTGAAGCCTGTAGGAACCTGATTAGCTCAAGATTTCTAACTCTAGGGACTTTGAGATAACCAAATAAGCAGTGCAGTTCCAAAACCCCGGTCTCCCCAAATCTATAAAAGTGTTCTCTGTAAAACAGCCATTTGGCCCCCTCCAACATTACCTGCTAAAGTCCATGGCTTTATGATAGAATGCTTATAAAAATCAAAGTATAAAATATGTTATTTTTTTAAAAACAGGCAAGATCTGCAAATAATGCAAAACAATTCATAGAAAATAATACAGCAGAAAGCTCTACATCTGCTGTTCATTATTTTGTGGGTTTACTTTTTTTGTTTTTAATGGAATAGGCTCGTGACCCCAGGAGCAATTACTCTGTAATCAAGCTTACGTCTCAAGGTTGTCACCCTCCAATACTGTTTGCACAGGCAGGTAGCCAAGTCGGGGATGCTTTGCAAAATACTTCTTTGACCGGAACTTATTCTTCAGTACCTTCGTGAAGTCCCGTACATCTTCCCCAGATGTTGTCTTAAAAAGTTAAAAGAAATCAAATTGAACAAAGCTAAATAGCATTGAGATAATAGTGCTGCTACTGTCCTGAAAAAGGATACAAGGAAGAACTTTAATGATGTTTAAATTGCCTTTTAAGTGTCCTGAAATACAGTACAATAAGAGCAGTAATGCATCTGCACATTCTCTTCTATTGGAAAAAAAAGAGAGGCTTCAAATTCCCAACAATAAATGCATTGAATTTACCAATTACTTTATAAATTTGAGAAAAACTGAAATAGGTTCAAGTCTTAAGGTAAACATTTATAACCGGTCTTACAAGTCTTACAAAACATAAATATTTATATTTTCAGGAAAAAAAAAAAAAAAGGCAAATCACTTTGCCAGATATAAGGGCATATCCTTAGCCATTGAAAGCAATCTTGACAGTATACTCATAGACATGAAGCTTGTGACTCACCACACAGACATAAAAACCTTGTAATGGCTCTGCTGAAAAAATGTAGCTAACAGTAACAGTTTTGTTTAAAAAAAAAACACCCAAAAACACAAAACAAAAAACTTTATCATGAGGTGGGAGCAGTACGTGCTAAACCATTCCATGCAGCAACGGCCAAGTTTTTCATGAGCATTTTCTCAAGTTACCAGATCTCTTCCTACAGGTTTCTGGCACTATTTGTATCACTCCAGAGTCAAGAAAAGCCCAGAGATGAAGTGACAGCCATTGTACAGGCACTGTTCAAAGGCTCAGTCAGAGGCTGGCCTGATAAGAAACTCACAGACTGATTCAGTCACCTCCTAACTACTGCAGGATAAGACTAGTACAAAAATGAGCCACAAGATTCTGCAAGTCTAAATTTACGAGTTACCATTGGCAACTCCCACATAATCCCCCCAGCAGCTTTTTTACTGGTCCCCACTGATGCAGTCTTTTCCAAAACTTACAAGTGCTTAGCCCCAGCCCTCACTCCCACATGAAATTAATTGCATTCTTTAGAACAGAATTAAAATTGATGCAACTGCTTTTAAAAATAATTTTAACTGGAAATAATCATGGCAATAATGCCACCATTGCTTTGGTAATACTATTCAGTTAACTTCTGCTACAAAAGGAGGGATACAAGCAAAACATGCCAGAATAAAATACAAGGTGAAAATGGTAATAAAGAGATCTGCAGGAAGAAACAATAGTATACAGTATGCCTTTAAAGTATATGTGCTTACAGGCTGCACTGAGTACTTAAACAGAAGGGTCCCCATCGCATGCAGCAGTTACTATTAAGCATTTCCTCTTGCAACTGCAGTAAAGAAAAAGTGGCCATTCATCTCCTGCATTAGCTGAATATTTTCTACAGATTTCCAGCCCAAACCCTGTAACAAACTACAGACTGTATTTAAGAAGCCTGTTAACGCAAAAGGATGCAAAGCAGATGGATGTCCACAGGGAAAACAGGGTGAAAGACTTTTCAGTTTTGTAAATTTTTTCTATTACATCCTACAAAGAGGCCTAGAAGCAGGTCAGATGAACTATTATCTGATTTTATTCTCCATTGTCAAAACATAATACTTCCCTATTTACCTATGTATTTTAATGTATGTATAATATATGCAGTTACAAATTCTGTAATGTAGATCAGATGAGCAATAAAAATTGTAGATAATCAAACTGATGGTAAGAGTTTCTCACATGTGGCTTTAACAAGTGACAACAAACTGAGCAAATTTGGAATTAAGAGGTGTTTGAACTCCCAAGTTTTAATACAGGTAAATTCAGGGAGCGCTCTCAAAAAAAAAAAAAAAAAAAAAAATCATCATTCTCAGAAAGCATCTGCTCCAGTCACCGCATCGTCCAAACCAGGAATGTGAGGCAGCCCAAAGGGCTGCTTGTTCTCACGCCACAGTAACTCCAGCAGATGGAACTCTGTCCCAAGGCCAAAGAATGAAAGTTTTAGTACCTACACACTGCAGAAATAGATGTCTACTGAGATGCCAAACTTATTCTCTGGTGTATTCTTTATTTGGTATGACCCAGTTCACTAGAAAGACTAATATGACTGTCTACTCACTGAGGACAATAAATACTAACTTGTGAAATTTGAGCAGATTTGGAAGAATTATTTTAATTTACACACCACTAAGACACAACTTTTAGAAGTATTTCTCCTGTGTTTATTGCATATAACCACACTGCACAGTCCAATTCAAAATCATGCCAAGAGATGTACTATAAGATTCTACTTTCAAAAAATAGCCAGGCACTGTTCTGTAGAATCTATCTACTAAATTAAAACCAACAGGTAGCTTGTACACTTCCTTCCATCATGACATCTTGACTATTTCCACACAAGTCAATAGCACAAATACCACTGTAGTTACAGAACTACTTCAAAAGCAAAGAAAAAAAATCCTTTCCTTCACTGAAAATTTCAGTCAAAAAGACCACGCTTTCAAACTCAATTTAAAATCTCAGTTCTTAGAACAAGACAAAGTTAAGGAAGGAATGACTAAGATCCATGGCTGGCACACATAAATAACTAAAAAACCATCAGTAGCAGAAGGTCTCAAGGAGAAAATCTTGTAACAACTGACAAACTGGCATTAGCGCTCTTCAATATACCAGCAGCCAGGCATAAATGGGAGTCATAAGTCACAAACTAAAACCAGATAAAATTCCTTGTCATCCCACAGAAATTTAAGAAACTGAGATTTAAATGGAAAGCAGTGGCAAAAACAGACTGTGCTGAGACATGGTTTTCATATGTAGGTTAAAACCCACAGTTGGTATATATTTCTAATGTATTGGAAATAGAACAAGTCTTCATTGGGAAAAAGTACTACCAAGAATCTACTAAACCTGATGGAGAGCTCTAAATGAAATAATCATCTAGCATATAAAAATATAATAAATAAACATTAATACATAAAACATATAATATGTGAATAAATAATATATACTTACCATGTATACATATATTTATTTGTATTTATTTCTCACTATTCTCTTTTTCTGAAGAAAAAATAAAGTGATAATGAAAGCCCAAGAAATTTCCCATTTCTTTCACTGCACCTACCCATGTAAAAGAACTAGTCTGCACCTAAGTCATCATTCTCTCAATTACATTTCTTATGTCTAATATAAAATCAAAGAGCTGTTCTAATGTACATGTAGAAACTGATTCCCAAAAGAGATTGAACCTCATTAATGAACACTGTCACTACATTAACCCCAGCCAGACATTCAGGGGTTATGAGGAAGCTGGAGAGAATTGTACACATATATTTGATACACACAATAATCAAGCAAGTTCCAAGAAAATATATTTTGTATAATAAGATATGCTCATTGAGGTAAAATTTACAGTCTAAAAGAACATCCATGCTATTTAAAAGGACTTTAGTTTATTCTTTAATAGAAGCCTTAGTAGAGATACCTGAATTTGATACCATTTGATACTCTTCAAATGCTTTAGTGAATTTTAAGGTTTGCAGTTTAAAACACACACACACACCCCAAATCCCCCGAAAGAAAAACCACCACAACGTTTTTACATCTCTATATTTTTATTTCTTGACATTTTATTTATCTATAACATTTGGTAGAATCTGTACCATGAGCCTGACTGTTGTTGATGGAAAACAAAATTCTTAGACCTACTTATGGCAACAGCTACAATATGTGCAGGTGTGACGGTAGCTGCATGTCACAGCAGCTGTCAGCTTAGTACTACTGGGAGGCTGGGAAACTGCCCAGCGCAGGATGTGGAGTAAAGAGACAGATACTTCATTCCTCTTTTTTTTTCTTTTTTTTCAAATTGACCCTTAAGAATGCAATTCACTGATAACTTAAACACATGTTTAAGTGCATACATTCATTCCCATTCAACAAAGCCTCCACGATTTAAAAAGCGTCTCACATCCCTTGATAGAGGAATGAGGCAGGATACCACCAAAATTAGTTTATTAAAGGTGTAATAACTGCATTTATGGCTGTCACTGCCACATCAGTCATGTCTGTGCTGTAACAATGTGAAGATTACTCTTGAGACCCCTTTCAAACAGAGGCATTTCATAGCAATTTCTCACCAAGAGGAGATATTGATTAGAAATTGTGTGTATATTTTAGCTTACTCCAATGAAGTCAAGCTGTAATTTCACGAGTAACTTACCACAGAATTTAACAAATTAAGTTGCAAAAGGGTAGTAAACCAGCTATCTGAGCAACTGTAAGAGTGAGACCTAGAAGAAAGCACATTGCCCAGCTGCTAGATATCAAAGACTACCCTGACCAGATGGCTCTTCTTCTCAAGGCAAAGAGTAATCTCTGAACTCCAGAGCTGGAAGCGATGTTCTGCATGTGAAATAGCCAGACCCAACCATTCTTGCTGCTTGCTTTCATCTTCCTGACAGAACAATCCCTTTTTGATAACAGCGAAGCATCATGCTTGGTGCATTTTTAAGCATGTCAAGATGAAACCACTGACTTACTTCTGTCAGTTTGTTGCTTATAAAACACCGAGGCTGCTTAATGTTCAGGAATGTACCTGTCTTCTCTGGATATCAGTAGCAATTAAATTTTCAGATGACTTAGAGGAGAAGTCTTAACAGCCACTATTGTAGACGAGCCTTATTGTGCCTGAAAAAAATTTTCAGTCTAGGGTATCTATCATTCAACCAATAATTTCTGATGTCTTGCCTACCACATTCTGAGCTCTTTCAGGGAAATAAAATTCTAGTCATCTGGAAGATGAAGGGGCTAACCTTTGCTGCCATGGTTTTGTATAGAAAGGCTACAAACCAAACAGTTCCCAAAATAAGGGGCTGTGCCAGGTGAGTGTAGCGGCACAGAACTACAAAAATCGATCATACTTTCACTGAGGTCAGGAAGTAAAACTACTTGCAATGAGAAAATTTTCAGAACTACTGATTTGATATTTGTATATTATCTCAGAATAGCTGCTTTTAAGATTTTACTGTGGAAAATAGGAGTTGCAAAGTGGAAGAAGTCTGGAGAAAGAAAACTGATGCAGTAACTATTTCCATCTGAAATTCAAAGGACCCGTTGGTACAGAAAGCCACATTAATATAACACAAGTACCACTACTGAAAGAACTTCTATTCCAAAAAAGCTAAAATTAAATCATGTAGGTACTTATTTAAGAGTATTCCTGAATTAGATACTAGGAAAATCTTACAAAAATTTTTACACATCTCTGTGTAAAATTCTACATTAAAAATCCCATTTCTCCATCTTTTCAAAGACTAAAGGTGAAAGAATAATTACAGTAACTTTGCATTTCTACTACTTAGAGACAGTAATGTTTTCAGTTCCCTACCCCACCCATCTCTCAATCCCAAATGAAAGAAAAAAAAAAACCCAAACATAATGAAAGCCATTATCATGATTTTTGGTATTTCCAGAATCAAGAAAACTAAATTTTGAGCTAGGGTAAATGCTAAATGGCATTACAGATTAGGATTCAATAACTGCATATAACTATCTGGTATAAACAGCCTTATTCTGAAATGACAAAGCAATTTTCACCTGATGCAAATATCACAAAACTCATTACTACAGAGAATCATCCCCTTCCAAATTTAATTTTATAAACAGATTCCTTAAGCCATTCTCCAAAGTATTTTAAATGTAAGTAGAAGTAACTGAGCTTCTGAGAAATCCCTTCAAACCCTGGACTGAACTGCCTGCTTGAAGACAATTAAAAGGTCTTCCCTCCATCTGTGACTAAACTCTAGTTCTAAATGTCAGATTTATTAACCAGGGAAGCATTTCTTTTTCGATTTATTGGTAGTATTCTTGATATTAATCCATTAACGTACCTTAACAGTAAGAGAGAGAAGCTAGGTTTTATCAAGGGAGTTTGATGAGTACATACATTTGTACTCTGCAACACCGGCCAGGAAAGTAACATTTTAACATTAACAGCCTTTGAATTTGGTTGACAAGGTAGAGTAGATGCACTCTTCCTATTCAGGCTAGCTGTACCATAATACAATGGATTCCAAGGAAGAATTCATCGGCCTTTGGTACCTTTTTTGTTTGTTTGTTTATTTCATAGATCCAGCTCTATGTTCTTTTTCAGGCATTATTCCATTTAAACATATAAGCTATTCTAACTTACTGCAAAGAATTTTGCAACTCTTGACTATTATATTGCATTAAAGGAGTTCAATACATAAAGAGGTTTAGCAACAAATTAGTACACCAACTATAGTACATTGTTAAATAGTAACACAAAATAACACTAGATTCTTTTTGTGAAGTCAGTTCTTTATTCTTGACCTAATTCAGATGAGATTAGTTAAAATGAATTGCATATAGGTACTGCTTACGGATGTTAAACAGGCATATAAGAAGTCTGTTCATATAATGGCTCACTTCTTTTTACGGAAATGGAGCAAGCAGAGTGTACTTACAGCAGGACCCAAGACAAATTCCGACTCCCATATTCAGCTTCCAAATTAATGGGAGTCAGCGCTGGACCTCTAATTTTATGTGTCAACTAAATTATATGTCATCTCTTTTATTCTGCTCTACTTTAAACTGCCTCAAATTCCTTCCTTTACCTCCTATATACCTGCTTTCTTTCACTCACTTTAGTCAAGAATGCCATCTTCTTCCCCTTATTAACCTATAGTAGATTCACCTAATTCCTCCCATATTTCATGGAAAGAAGGGACTTCTGCCTTAGGTTACCTTATTTTGCACTTAATATTGCTTTAAAACTTATATTCTTTTTGCAGCGGGAACAGAAATCTTCATTATAATACATGCTGTCCCTAGTTTCAGGGACAGCGGGGATTTCAGCCATTTCCAGAACATATTTTTTTGTACTACAGTCTTTACTTGTAAATGAAATGGCTCACAGTTACATAATGTGAACATGTTTAACAAGAACTGAAAATTTCTCTCAGATATCAAATCTGCTGTTTCAGACAAAACCCAGAAGTCATCAGAAACGTACCATCCTGTTCTAGGGAGAGTACATCAGGTGTAATCTGTAGTTGACTAATGCAACAGAAAGAGT